GTGTCCGAGGGCGGTCCAGGAGAATGGGCTGCGCCCAAGTCTTAGGGTTGCTCTTATAACCTCCCCCGGGCTTGGCTTGGCTTTGCCGAGGGCGGTCATCAGAGGGTCCTGGAGCCTTGGGATGATTTGGAGGAGCCCCCGGCCCTCGGTTATGCTTGTTGTCAGCCCTCGGGGGCTGCTGGTCCGGATGCTGGTGATACTTCTCCACCTCCTCGGCCTCAGCATATCGGTCCCCCCGCTGCAAAGCCCTTATGTAGTCGCGGGGGGGTTCAATGATGAGGCTCCTCGAAAAGTTGCCGGTGCGGAGGACAGTTTGAAGGAGGGCCAGGAGGGTCCCGTCATCAGCACCGTCGACCTTGTCGGCCTCCGTCCTCCAGCGCTCAGGGAAATCCCGAAGGGTCTCATCCCTCTTCTGGCGTATTGTTAGGAGGTGGGAGAAGTGCTTCCTTGTGCGACGCCTCCCGGCAAATTGTGTCAAGAATCGTTGGGCGAGTTCTTGCCATGAATTAATACAGCCCTCGGGCAGCCTGTTGAACCATTCGTATGTCGACCCCTCTAAGGTGGAGAGGAACCAACGACACAAATATTCGTCTGACGCCCCTACCATCATCATGCTGTTTTGATATTTACTGTAGTGTTCCTGGGGGCCCGTCTTCCCGTTATAGGGCTGTATGTGTTGCCCTCGGTATTTTTCTGGGATCCGGGCCGCCAATACCCTTGGGGTAAATGGCGTCCGAGTCTGGAGCTGGATGACGGGTTCCCCGGAGCCCTCGGCCACCTTCTTCTGTAATTCCTCCATTTTGGCCATCATGGCCTCGTATTTGAGGTCTGAGTGAGGGGTGGAGGTGGTGGCGTGAGCTTTGTTGGACTCCATTTCGTCAAGCCGGCGTTGGAGGGCCGCAATAATCTCGTCCCGGGGATCCTTCGGGAGGGTCTCCGCCCCCTGCGAACGAACCCGGGCCGAGTGGGCCTGGTTGATCTGGTGGCGAGCATCATTGGCATGAAGGGGTGCCTTGCCTTTGTCCCGAGGGGGACGCTCCTCGTCTGCCCTCGAGACAGACCCTCCACTTTCCTGAGGCCTTTGGAGTGCCTTTCCTCCGAGGCGGTCTTGGACCCCTCGGCGGTCTGGCCCTCCTCCGAGCCGGTTGAGGGCGGAAGTGCGGGGCCTCTCCCTGTTGTCATTGTGGCGATCCCGGGACTGTACTTCCTGGGAGGACGTATCCTGGGCCACTACCCCTTCGTCGTTCCTCACCCGAGGGGTGGGATTTCCGAAGGGGTGTGGCGGAGGGGGGAGTATGATGTTTTCCCCAACCTGGGGGTGAGCCGGAGCCAGGGTGCCGAAGGCACCCGGGTTCTGAGTGAGCGTCTGGATGAAGGCGGAGAGCGCCGATTGCACGTCGATGGTGAGAACCGGAGGGCTGACTTGGTCATCGCTCCGGTTTTTCTTCTTGGCCTCGATGCCGAGGCGGGCATCGGGGGCATTTTGTTGGATCTGAAGGCTTAGGTCGACAGCCGCCTGTTCCAGCCCAGCGATGACACCGCCCTCGGGAGCCCTGTGAGAGGCTTCGGGGGCGTTGACGTCGCCGAGGGCCAGGTTCTTGTCCTCTACGTTTTTTGAGTTGGCACGTGTTGTTCTCACCATTTTAGCTAGGTACTTTGTGTTTGGTCTAGGGGGAGGGTTTCTTACTTGATTGTTCGACCTCTCAACGAGAGCACCAAATGATGGATTGTCTACCCGGGGGTATATATCCGAAGGGTTATTGCGGGGAATAACTTAGAGAGAAGTCAGAGCGAGTAAGTAAATGTAGAGAGAGAGTGTATTCAGTATGAATGTTGTGGTTACAAATGGGGAAATGAGGTGCTATTTATAGTAGCAATAAATGCCGGACAGGGACACGTGTCAAGCGCTCATTGGCCGAGGGGTCACCTCAACTGGTTGGCGCTGGCAGCCGCATGTGGCCGCATTTAATGCGGCTGTTGGATGGGACGTCCGTGCAGGGTACGGTGATCTGTACGCATGTGAGGCGGATATCTTGTCGAGTGAGATGCCTTCGGCTATAGAGCAGTAGCCGAGGGCTCCTCCAACCGATGGCACCCTGGTGCCGAGGGCTCACAGTGCCGAGGGCTACTGTTTTCGCCGTTTTCTCCCAGTTTCTTAATTTGCTTGAGAAACCCGTTCTGTGAGAGTTTAGAGCCTTCGGCCAGGGTGCCGAAGGCACCCCTGGCGCGTAGTGCGGGCTGCTTGGTACTCTGGGCGCTGTGATTTGGGCCTGTTGGGCCTTCTGGGCCTTCGCTGGAGTAGTAGGAGTCTGTGGGCCGGGGGTTCCCGGGCCATATACTCCATCACAAACATTGAAGGATCATGGTTGAAGTTCATGTGAGGCATACCGTTGAAGTTTTGTGGTAATGGAGGAGAAAAAAACTCCGCTGAGTAGAAAAAGGATTCAGATCTAGTGGAAAATAGTTTGTTTTTGGAGTAAACATGGGTCCATTATTTAATGGACCAGTAGCATGAGAATATTGTACAGAATTAGAATTATTTTGCAATAGCTGCATAGCCATTCCAAAATTCGGATGAGCGGGATCAATTTGAAAATTTCTTACGAAAGATTGTTGTGCTGAATGATGAATTATTTGGAATGGGGGGACTGTTCGTGTAGTATCTAGGGGGAGAACGGTTTGGATCCATTTTCAGGGAGAAAAATAATCTAAAACAGATAAAATCAGATGTAAGAGGGAAAGAAGTGGTAAATTTCAAAATGACTAAACATATCCTTCATTGGTGTCTATTTATATAAGGAAAAAATCTGACTTTTTGGTATATTTTTTTTGTAAAATAAATTAATTTAATGCATAAAATATTAAATTTAAGAGTTGGTGAGGTTTGTGGCTAGAAATTTGGGAGGATGATCTCGTGGCCTACACTCTCATTCATTTGCTCCGCCACTTGGCTAGATTAAAAAAAAATGTAAAGATCCCATTTTTTACCATCATCCTAATCATCACATGCTCAACTTCTATGAACGTGTACACCGTACAGCCGACTGTACAATGATCACTGTACAGCCGGTGGCAAAATTGTAATTTTTATGAAAATCGCGGATTCTCCTAAATGAGCATTTATGCAACTTTGTTGAGCATCAATCTTGTTCTTTTGAATATTAGGAGTCTAACGGTGAGAATCAGTGATCTCTGCTTCAAACTTTATATCACTTTTGGTTTATTATTTTTTCGTTTAGTACAATACATTTGAAATGTTCAACATTTTAAAATGAGCATACATAACTTACAAGTTAGTATCAAATAACTAAAAGGTTCATTTGTGTGTGCTAATTCTTTTTGGGCGTTATACTCATTTGAGTTTAACATAAAACTCATTTCATTTAAAATGAGTATTAAGCAAATATCAAATGAGTATACATAAATTACAAAATGAGCAATCATAAAACTCATTCGAAATGTCTACTATGCTCATAATTTCATTTTGTATAAAAAATTGTGGCAGCCCATGTAGCAGACCAGTAATTAGCAGAGACGAAAAAATAGAGTGTGAAGAATAGGAATCGCTCGCAGGGGTAGAACCGTCTCTGCGTCGGCTAAGAATCTCAGTCGTGACTTGCACTCGGAAGCTTGGCTATCGGCAATCTGCGTTCGTGAGTTGAACCAGACTTTCGATCTGCCGTCCTTCGTCGTCTTCGTTGGTGAGTTGCAGGGCTAAATCGCGAGTTGCAGGGCTGAATCGCGGAGGTTTAATTATAAAAAAACCCGTTGTACGGTGAGCACCGTACAACCGGCCGTACGGTTGTATAGTGAGGGTCAACCCCACAGCTTTTGTTTTTTAATCTAATTTGACCCTCTGTGGGTGCTCTTATGGCGTGTATTTGCATTTACCACAACTTCTCAAGACATGGCTGTTAGCTTCTCCCTATGTTCATCCTTAAAAAATGGGGAAAATGCCCATATTTTGTACTTTGCCCACCGTATTTTTTACTTTGCCCACCCACAATTGTTGCAAGACTGGACAATTTAGTCCTAGACTTTTGTTGGGCCAAACAGTCAAGCCAACTCTCAGCCCTCAATTACATAGCATCACCTCATCCCCTTTTCTTTTCTTTTTTCTTTTTAATTGATAGTCTCCAATTGTTTTATAGAAAAATAATGTTTTTCTAAAATTGAAAATTATAAAATCAAAACATTCATACTTAAATAAAACCTTGTTATATTAGTTAATTTAATTGTTTTTAGGATTTAATTATTGAAATTATTTGAAAAACAATCGATAATCATATTTATTATGTAGTACTCCTTTCATCTCGTTGAAATGTTTTAACTTTCCTTATTTAGATGTCTCACTTAAAGGTTTTCATGCTATTTAGAAAATAATTTAATCTCTTTAATTACACTTTTGTTCAAATTTCTCTTTTCTTCTCATTATATGTCAACTCTCACAATTATACTTTTCTAATGTATTTATGAATAATAAAAGAAATTATAAACTTAAGGCGTATATGTTCAATATAAAAAATAAGTATTCCAGTTTTTTTAAACTAAATTTTTAATTTTTATCACTTCTAACGTAAATTAATAATTTTATCTAATCTTCCAAAATCTGGAATGGTGTAAATAATACGTAGTAGTTAATAATAACAAAAATATTTAAAATGTACTTAACAAAATAATTTTTAGAATGATTGAAATTTAAAAATTCAAAAACGTAAATATAAACTCACATATGAAAGGCATTTAGGATATAATGAATTTCAAAAACATGGTAAATATGATTTTATGTGTAAACTAATGTGTAAATATGCACCAACGAAAATTGATTGTGGGGTTGCATTTGAAATTGATTAAAATTGAAGTGTCGGATCACGTTGTGAAGCTTCAAGGAGCAATTTTAATCTTAAATTAATTAAAGGATAAAGGTTAAATTAGTCATGTTGGGGTTACCGTAAGTAATAAATGGGGTGCGCCTAGCAATCCCCACTTTTAATGGAATATGGAGATTTCTTCTCCAAAATTAAGTTTGGCTTCGGTGCTCCCCGACCCTCCAAGTCATAACCCCATTGTCGTCCCTCCGCAGCACAAGGGCGAGGATAATGCGAGCCCCACAGGCCACAGCTATGCCAAGTATGTGATCGTCTTGCTAAAAGCTTCACCACATATCTGCTTCCCTCCAATCCCATTTCGCCACAATCTCTTCGTAAACATCGTCGATAATAGCCAGAAATATTGAAGAGCACGTAGTACTGTACTGACGAATGAATGTAACGATCACTCAAAATAACGAGAACCATTGCAATAGACTAGATTTCGCTGGGAAACTATGGCATTTCTCTCCGACTGATCGTTGTCAATCGATTGTGAGTGCACGGGCCTCATTCGTGCTAGCGACTTCAGATTGTACTGCTATGTATGCTAGATTTCGTCTTCTCTGATTTTGTAATTTTGTCCGAACGGATTATTCTGAAAAGCTTTATTGAATTGGTCTACAATTACAAGTAGAGGTTGCATGATTACTCATATAGCGAGTGGGTGTTGGGCATCTGAGTGCAATTACAACTTTGATTTGGTTAATTTCGATTTATTCGAAATGGAAATTATAATTTTGTGTAGCTAACAATTTAAAGAGCAAAAGTTGTGATTCACTAGTTGTCTGTTCTGCCCTTAACTTGACTGCTCAATGCTCATATGATGTTTGCATGCATTTTATGGTCTGTAGTATGCTTCTGGTGCTGATTCTCCGTCTCTTGCATAACAGAAGCTATGTTAGCTATCTGAAAGAAAATGCACTTAGTGCGGGATGTGATTAAGCTACCTTACTATGTTCTGTGGTGGTGTTGATCACTTGAGTATCAATTAGGTGAAGCCTTCATGGTGGTCAATGTCGCAGATATTGGACTTGGTGCAGGAAAGAGGCTTCTTTCATCCGCTTATTCTCATTCTGATGTTGCTGAAAAGCTGTCATGTAGCTGCAGTGTGATCACTGCTAAAAACTCACCCAATTATACCCTTCCTTTTATCTCAAATCGTAGAGTGTGTTCCATCAAGGCAGTTAAGGAGAGCACGGACTTTGTGCTTGACACTTCTAACAGGGAGCCATTTGATAAGAGATTCAGTGAGTCGATAGATGAAAGCAGCTCTGATGAGGAAGATAAAGTAGAAGCTATCCTACTGCTGCAGAAGTCTTTTCTAGAAAAACAGTGGGATATTTCGGCCGAAAAAATGATGACTTTCATGGCAAAGGAAAACAAATCTGAGGGAGTTCAGATCACTTGTTCAGGTACATCTGCTAGAAAGAGAAGAATAGATTCCCGAAAGAAGGTTTCCGAGTGTAAAAATCCTTTGGTATTAATAAACAAGAGAGGGAGATCCACTTCTGGTAAACATGTGCTTCGAAACCACTTAAGAAGTTATGTTAAGGGTGTTGGGAGTGGTGAACTTCTCACTCACGCTGAAGTGGTGCAACTATCAGAAAAGGTTAAACTAGACTTGTATTTAGAAGAATGCAGATCAAGGTGCTCAACCTTTCTTATTTTTTCTATGTGATTTCCTTTTTCAAAAATGCTTTTGACATATCTTTACGAGGTCTGTATTACATGGGGACCTAATAGACTAAAGGATAGAGTGGGGTGTGAACCCACCGATGAGCAATTTGCAATTTCACTGAGGACTTCTAGTGCTGATTTGCAAGTCACAAAAATGGAGTGTCACTTGGCAAAGGAAAAGCTGGCAATGAGCAATGTTCGTCTTGTCATGTCAATTGCACAAAGATATGATAATATGGGAGCTGAAATGGCTGATCTTGTTCAGGTAATTTTTGTGTCCTTTAGCCAATGAGTTATGGATGTATATTTTGGTGCATTTGCCCTGATCATTGTGGAAATTTTAGTCGGTAAGATATCTGATCTTTGTGTAGGGTGGCCTAATTGGACTACTCCGTGGAATAGAAAAATTTGATCCTTCTAAAGGATTTAAAATCTCAACATATGTTTTTTGGTGGATTCGTCTGGTGAAGTCTATAATCCCATTTTGCTACTCTTCCTTGCCATTGCTTTATAGTGATTTGTCTTGTGTGATGAAAATAAAGTGTAGTTACTTATGTGCCTTTTGCCAGGGTGTCACCAAGGCATTAGCTGAGAACTCAAGAGTGGTACGATTGCCAAACCATTTGCATGAAAGGTTGAGTCTAATCCGAAATGCCAAAAAGAAGCTTGAAGAGAAGGGGATAACACCATCAATTGATGTAAGTTATTTAAATTATTATCTTGAGTGAAGGAGACTCTTGATTTGAGGCATCAAGCATAAGACGATTCTTTTAATGAAGCTGATGGCTGATTAGTGAACCTTATTTTAAACCAGAGAATTGCTGAATCTCTTAATATATCCGAACAGAAAGTGCAAAATGCAAGCGAGGTAATAAACATTCCCTGATTTTCATTTAATTATTAGGTTTAGGTCCTAATCTTAATGCTTACGATTACGATTATTGTTCTTCTTCTAGGCAATCATCAAGGTCTTCTCTCTTGACAGGGAAGCTTTCCCTTCTTTAAATGGTAATCCAGGAGAAACCCTTCATAGTGTGAGTCCAAATTTATGGGCTTCTTTCATTCAATTTGATACTGTAAACCTGTGTAACATATTAGCCATTTACTTAAACCCATCATCTGCTTTTTCACTTAGAGGGCACTAAGGCCAGCAGTTATAGATGAAGAGAAATCCAAGTTCAATTGGTCATTGCACCTTGTTTGTTTTAACAAAAATTTACTCTTTGCAGTACACTGCAGATAATCGCCCAGAAAACATCCCTTGGCACGGAGTTGATGAGTGGGCAGTCAAGGTAAGCCAGTATCCCATCATACTTTTAAATATTTATGGATTTGAAACTATACAGGGATACTCTCTGTTTGGATGCTTTATTTTCCCTTGTATTTAACTGAATATTGTGGAAACTGGAAAGCCTTTTCTGATTTTTATGGTGTTTGGCAGGCCGAGGTAAATAACCTGATGTACACAACACTAAAGGATCGTGAAAGGGAGATTATCCGTTTATACTACGGTTTTGATGATGAAGGTCTTACGTGGGATGACATTGGACGACGGTAAGAGCCCATTCATTTGGGACTGAGATTTGATGATTTGATTTTGTGTAGTCTGGTGTGTTAAAAGTGTCATTTGGTTAGGTTTGTTTAAATATGGTGTTATATACTACGTATTCTTCCTTCCATCATTTGCAATGGAGCCAAAGATTCATTATTTTTTGGCTTGAGATTATGATGGAATAAAGCAAAATGGCTCACTAAACTGTCTGCGCTTCTTTGTTATGAAGCAACAGTCGGTCCATGCAATTTTGGACGTGATTTTCACTATGGGTCATTCGGAAACAGTCTCTCTGTGCTTTAGTACAGGGGTAAGACTGCGTACATCCGACCCCCCCTTACCCCACCGTAGGTGGGAGCCTTTGCGGCACTGGGGTAAATGAAAATGAAATGATGATACTACGTAGTCTTGTTTACAGAGTATTATGTGGATTTTTATTTGATACGTATATTTTTATGTTTTTTTTGAAGTATTACTTAAATAAAATTTATGTACAAAAAATGTGAATGAAGTTATTATGATTATAACGTCATCCATTTTACAATACGTAAAATTGAGCATAACATAGTCACTAAAAGTTACTAATTTAGTACTCGTGCATAAAAGATTTCATTTTTATCCATCACAATTATTATAATCATATATAAGTCATATTTCATATACTTGAAAATGTGTTACTCATTATAAAACTAGCTTATCGGAGTGTTTTTTTGCTCTTCAGGATAGGATTATCAAGGGAGAGAGTTAGGCAGATCGGGCACAGAGCTCTAGAGAAACTAAAGCGTGCTGCTAATAGGAGAAACCTTGAAGCCATGCTGATGAAACATTGATTTCAGAGTGGAGAGCTTCACTGTAAATACAGAAAAGTAACAATCTGCAACTTATTAGTTTTTCCCGGATCAAGGAAGAAATTACATGTTGCAGAGTTAATGTAGCAAAAAAAATGTATAAGCCATATGTTGCAAAGCTTCACTGTACGTAGTATATTGATTTGGGCAGTAAAGTTCAGAAACTTTTTACAGTTTCCTGTGATGATTTCTTTCCCTCAAGGCAGCTGTTGGCTGTGTAATCAGTTTCAGCATCACAATGTCACAAAAAAACACTTCCTAAAATCAGAATATATTATTTACGATGAAACAATTTTTTTTTCTTATTATTTGAAAGAACTAATTAAATACAAAATCATCAAATAGAAATTAAATAGTGAAGGTTATACGACAATAACATTCAAGTTTTAGTCCCAAATTTTTTTGGGGTCGGGGTGGACTCGGGTCCGGGCTGGGTCCGGGTCGGGCCTAGGCCCGGGCGGGCCGGCGGTTCAAGAATGGTGGACCCAGGACCGGCCCGGGCGGGCCGGCGGTTCAAGAATGGTGGACCCGGGACCGGCCCGGGTAGCCACCGGGTCCGGTCCGGGTCCGGGCCGGGCCGGTCCACGGGCCGGGTGGCCCGACCCGAGTCCAACCATAAATTTCATGGGCGTAGCTAGGGGAGACCAATCATGTCCCAACAGATTTCTCCATTGAATTGTTAGCTGAAATTTGGTATGAGTAAACTAGACTTGATGAATAAGATTCTCAAAAAATTCTCATTCATGGAATTTGATTATGAATTTTTTTGAGAATCTTATTCATTAAGTCTAGTTACTCATACCAAATTTCAGCTAACAATTCAATGTGGAAGGCATTCAAATAAATTCTTGAAGTTAATTGCGCTTTTAACTGCGCAGTTATCTTCAAGAATTCATTTGAATGTCTTCCCGATTGAAGTTTTAGCTTAAATTTGGTATGAGTAAACTAGACTTAATGAATAAGATTCTCAAAAAATTTCATCAAAAAATTCCACCGGGAACTGCCCCAAATGGCGACGGCCGGACAAAGTCTCCTATATAAGGGCTTATTTGACCTTTTTTGTTAGTACATGGGCTTATTTGCCCCTTTTTCGAGGATAAAAGTTAAAGAGCAAATAACAGAGATGAAGAAAGATCAATCACCCATATGAATATTTGCGCTCCACTTTTCATACTCTCATCTAATTCAAGAAGAAACATATCACTCTTGACTCATTCAACCAATGTTTATTACGGTCTTCTTCTCCCTCTCCTTTCAATCTCTTCTCTACACAATTCAACTCGTCTAACAAATGCATTACTAGGTCTTATACATGATGACCAAATTACATCAATCTAAAATCTTTTATCTTATCTTCATTAGGTTGTTATTCCCACATTTTGTTTGATTGTCCCATACCCCAAACTATCTTTTTATTATGTCTACACATTTAATGTAACATGTGCATATCAGTGACACTTATCTTTTGAACGTGACATTGTTTCACCGCTCAATGCTCTATACTATATACTCCCTCCGGTCCTTAATGAATTTTACACTGTGACTTCACACATATTAAGGAAACAAATTTGGCTTTACTGTAGAGTACACTGTTTGACAATGTTTGGCACTGTTTGGCACTATTTTGCACTGTTTGGTGTAGATTTGTTGCCAAATAAGGCAAATAAGGAAGCGTAAAGTTTAATATGGAACGGCCCAAAAAGGAAAGTGTAAAGTTAATTAAGGACCGGAAGGAGTAGTAATGTAGACATAATTGTTATTCGATAAAACTTATCCTCCGGTCTAGTCGACAAGTCACAAAAATCCTGATTCACTTCCATTTCATCAATCATGTTAGATTCAATGAATTAGTCAGATACACTTCACATAACATGTTTTGATACACTTCCATACAACTACATCTAGTTCATTGTCCTTATGAATTAGAGAGCCCAATATGTCACTTATAGGTATCTCTTTAAGATCTAAAGTAATCTCATTGTTATCACTGCTTCTACCTTCATCATTTACACCATTTATTGTTAGTGGTGAATAAATGTTAATTACATTTATGATATTTTTAATTGGATTTATTTCAATCAGACTAGATCAGATAATAGTAGACTCAAATAAACTGGCCAAACCAAATTTCAACAATTATAAAAACAGGAAGTATAGAGTAGACATCTATCAAATTAAATCAAATAAGACTAGACCTAAAGAAATAACTAAAAATTAACCTCACATGAAAAACATTTTAGTTGATCCATCAACATCAGCAATACTCCCATTTCTCCTCGTAGGTTCTTTACTTCTTTCGAAAAGGAGGCTGCACGTCAAAGTAACAGTCCATTATCTAGCTGGCAATGGCAAACTCGTTGCTTACGCGGCCGAGCATGACAATCTTTTGCGCCTCGCGGTTTAGCTTTTCAAGAAACCTCGTTAAATTTTCAGTTCCAGTGAAGACTAACCCAGTAGCAGTTAGCACGACCGTGTCGGAGAAGATCCTTTGCCCTATCGGCACGGTGGCGGCCCCTTTTTTTCTCCGCCGGAGTCTATGTACCCGACCATCTGCCGACCAGAATGGTTTCCGCACAATCGATTCTCCTCTTATGCAGTCCATGGAGAATAAGGTCCCATCACTAAACCATTTATGCTCTATCACTTTCTTAGTTTCAAAGCAATTGTTGTTTTAGCTAATACTTTTCTCCTAGTTATATTTTTAGGAATTAGTTTACATTAAAATATTATACCCCAATCCCAACTAGTTTTACCATAGTAACTCATTATAGATTATAGATCAACTGTTTTCTTAAAAAAGGGTACTGCAAAATGCAAAGAAAAATGAAATTTCGTGCTTGGTTCAAGGGAGGGAATGAAGAGCGGTGGATGGAGTATTTTTATGTTACCTTGGAGGGGAATGGATGTAGTGAAATTTAGCCTCCTCCGCCCATTAGCTCCCTTCCAGAAGGATACAAGATGAAGGGAAGGAACGGCGCCCCATCCATTGTTGTAAAACCAAACGAGGGAAAGACATCATTTTCATTCCCTACCGTATAATAATCAACAAACATACCCTTAAACTATTGAGAGGCTGTTTTGAGGGGGATGGGAGGGCAGCAGAGGGATTTTGCTCCCTCCCCTTGTTTCGTATGAAAAAAATATTTAGGAATGCTCCCTTTCAAAATCAGGGAATTCGAACGGGGAGAAATATGGTTTCTTTGCATCCCACATTTAAAGTAAGATTTCATTGTTAAACGCATTAGTAATATTTAAAACACTGTGCTTTCTATATACGAAGTATTTTTTTAAGACACCATATATATTTGTAAAGGGGTGCATGGTAATATTTATAATTGTATTTTGTGATTAAAATTGTTCATGTTATTAAATAGATAAGGGAAAGATGGTCTATTGTTCTTATTCTTTCTCTCTTGTCTTCCTAAATCTAACAAGGTAGCATTAAGATGACTGTGTTCAGTTTTCCCCTCTAATTTATCCAAACAAGGTATTATTAATTTATCTCCTCTCCCCTTTCCCCCTCTTGTAAAATCTCTCCCCTTCATTGAACCAAACACAAAGTTAAATGTTAGACTTAAATAAGGATAGACATTTCATTTACAACACCTCTTAATATATGTGCAATTATAAAAAAACAGTTTTGGTATAGATGTAGTATAGTTTTATAGATACTTTGCATATGTTATGCACTTCTGCTATTTTCATCTGGAAGTTTCAATATTCGGTTATATTAACAAGAACTTGATATGCTATTTTAGCACGTCTTAATGATGTACATGATACCAATAGATCAAACTTTATTTTTTCTAAAATAGACATATTCAGTCAGTCAATTTGCTTTAAGCTTTGGTGTGGCATCTATGCTCAAAGTAATGATATCATTAAGATATGAAAGTCACATCTAATTGAAATGACAGTGTTGAAAGTGGGTGTGCTTTTACTATGAAAGCAATGCACTGGACAGTATATATGAGGATTTCAAGTTCAGAACAAAATATGCTGTCAAGGACTCAATATTCAAGAATTGGTTTTTTTCGGTGTGTACTTTAAAGAATCCTCTTTCCATATCTTGAGAAGAAATGGAAATCTACTTGCAAAGGAAAAAAGTGGAGCTTTTGTAACAACTGACAAGCTACATGGAGATTTGCAGAAATTAATGTAGAATGTATTGATTTGGGGTTTGTAAGTACTACTGGGCCATCTTCAGTGTGAGGGTTGGCACTTATCCTTTCACAATAGACTGATAAATTGTATAGTAGAAGGCTTAAGTCAAGTGTTCACACTGGCCATAAACCAAATTCTGGTGGTCAGAATGAATAATAAGTTAATATCTTGGCGGCTTGGCCCCCTTGGGAAGGAGCCATATCTCTAATTAGAGAGAAGTGTTTTTTTCTGTAGTCCTTTTCGGAATAAGAGTGTTTTGCATTGGATGATTTTATTGCTTTAAATCCATCATCAATGTCAGTAATGGTTCAATGTTAAAAGTCTTATTTTTCGTTGGTCCTGATATAAACAGATCAAGGAACAACTGAATGCAGAATCAGTTGCAGTTAATGACCTCAGTGGTGATGGTCGGCATGTCAGGTGAGGCTCGTTTTGGCTGATATTGTGTGTGGTGATATGCTTGATTATAAGAAATGTGACATAATCTTGTTTGATTCAGGTAAGCAGATTACCTTGCTAATGTAATACGAAGTATAACACTCTGTTTTGATTTATAAGTAAATAAGAGAGAGATGAGACCCTTCCATTTCCTTAGGTATCATTGTAAGATGACATAATATTTTATTTATTGTGAGTTTTGCTCTTGTTCCAAAACATAAGCAATATCACATTTCACGAATCAAACAGCTTGAGCTAATCTCGTATTTCAGTGATATGACATTAACTTACTGGAATCATATTCTTAAAGTAATCTCATGTTTTGTGAACCAAAGGCTCCTAATATATATATTTGGGGTAATTTGAGTTTGCACTCCATTTTATTGTCCAAATTGGACTTTGCACCCCGTTTTAAAAAACTTTTGTATTTGCACCCCAACCCCCCCTTATGAAAAGACAAAAGTACCCCTCCATTTACAATTCTGTTAGCCTTCAACATATTCCCTATCGAAGGGCATTTTTGTCTTTTCATAAGGGGTTGGGGGTGCAAATACAAAGGTTTTTAAAAACGGGGTGCAAAGTCCATTTTGGACAATAAAATGGGATGCAAACTCAAATTACCCCTATATATTTGCATGGACGTAAACCATATCTAAGACTTATTTATCAGCTTTCCCAAAAAAACTTTTTAGTCTTTACCTTCTTGTCACAAAAATGAGTTTTTTTTTTTTGTTTATTTATTTCTTTTCAATTCATTACCCTCAACTGCGCGCATGAATGACTGGAGCTTGATTGCAGGATCGACGTTGTGTCTTCAGCTTTTGAGGGGCAATCTGCTGTGAACAGACAGAGGATGGTATACAAAGCCATATGGGAAGAGCTCCAGCACACTGTGCATGCTGTTGACCAGATGAGTACCAACACCCCCGCTGAAGCATCACAAAAGAAATGACGTTCCATGCTTTTACCTATCTTTCTAGCTTCTAATTTAGCTTATGAGCTAAAATTCGCAAGTCCTCCTACTTTGCTTGAGTAGTTATGTTATGCTATAATTTCTTTAATTTTGATTAGCACAGAAGGGCATCTCAAGAATAAAACATTATGTAATTTTTCTATGAATTGATTGTAAAACATTGGTGTGATGATCTTTTAAAAGGATTTTATCACATTCACTATCGTTCAAGTTACTTGAAAAGGCAAATTTTTAAACTTTTTTTAATAATGTTAATTGAAAAGTAAAAATAGCTCAATAGTGTATAACTGTATATCATTTTTGGACATGTATTCTTTCTCTTCATATATAATTACTCCGTATAAAATAGTACTCCGTAATAATCAATTCAAATTTAAAACGTCTTTTCACACTTAAGCTTGAAAGACTTGAGACTTGACCTTAAACTATGACACCCCTCACAAAAATAGACAGGACATCAAAAGAAGCATGTCAACTATTTGTAGTTGGGTGAAATGGATCAGGAAAGAATTTAGCGGTCTCCGTTTGAAAAGTAAATCAGCCCGGGTTGCTGCATTTGGCTGCTCACTCTCCGTGAGTTGGAACTTCGAAGACAAGGAGCAGCACGAAGTTTGGTAAATTTGGTAGCTATTTTGTTTTCCCAAAAGGTGGAATATCCCACCACAAGAGCCTCCACCCGACCCGACAGGATGGTGGAGGAGTTAATCACGGTGACTCAGTCAACAAAGTGGCGGTAGACCGTATACACGTGCGCACCAGAGTTTCAACCTTATTTCAGGTTCTGTAATCTCCACACGGCCGTTGCGGGTTTCGAAACTTGGTCACTTGGTCCAATTTTCCCACCACTCGACCAATTGAGCTACCCGTACGAGTACTATTTTGTTTTCCTTTCATAATTTGTGGTCACCATTCTTTACAGATCCCATGATAGTGCTCTTCTCTACAAGACATTACTCATGGCTATGCTAGGGATCAAACTATATTTACTCGGAATCTTTACGATTGGCTTGTGTTAACTTTTTTACCGGGAACCTGATGGTGATTGAACAACCAGTGACGATTCTTTCGAAAGCGGTGATGGGAACTTGAGGACAAACACAACTAATATGTTAAGATAGATTTTTTGTGCACAGTTTATAGGTGACTTGAGAACCTAATGGAGTGTTTAAGTGATTCATATTGACTTCTCTCAAGAGTATGAGGTAATTTCTTGAGAGTTAAGGATTAGTTTAACAAGTAATGTTTTACCGTTCAGATTCCTAATTAAATTGATTATTCAAATGAAATGTTGATCCTCCTATCGTCCTATACTCCTATGTTTTATTTCTAACACGTGCCCTTCTAAAAATATTTTATTATTTGTAATTTTTAAGGAATATTTTATTACTTGCACCATTTTGATAGTAAGCTTTTCATCTACATATACATAGGCTTGGACTCGGGCTGGGTCGGGCCCGGCCGGGCCGCCAATTCCATATGCTTAGGCCCGAGACCGGCCCGGGTCTTGACCGGTTCCGGGCCGGCCCGGGCCGATTCCGGTTCATTTTTTTAATTCTTATTTATTTCACCCCCACCCCCACCCCCCACCCGTAACACCCCAAACCCCTCAGAAATACCCAGCCCAGCCCAACTAAACCAGCCCAAACCAAAAAAATAAAAAATAAAATAAAATAGGCCCGAATCGGGCCCGGTCTGGCCGGACCGGTTCTCCTTTTCCCTTACCCGTGCCCGGAACCGGTAGACACCCCGGGCCTAGGCCCGAACCGGAACCGGACCCGGTTTCCCGGGCCGGGCCGGGCCGGGTGGCCTGCACCGAGTCCAAGCCTACATATACATAAACATAATTGGTGTTTCTACCTTTTCATTTTTTAATTTCATTTACACAAAATGATAGCTACTATGTAGTATATTTTTTCATTTTAAAACTCACATAAAATCTAATATTTTCAATTTAATAACTATATGGAATATATCTTTAAATAATACTTCTTTCATCCCATAAAACTTTGTCAACTTTTTTTTTGTTGTCCTACCAACTTTGGTGCTTTCTTAAAGAATTTGTGGTTCTACTTAATTATCTCTCCTCTACAAAACCTCAAACACATATGTTTTACTTTATTGATCTCGTGCCGATTAAGCATGACCAAGTTTTAAGGGACGAAAGGAGTATCATTTATATGCACAATTCAATAATAATCTGTACTTCGAAAACAATTTCTGGTGATACCAACTATTAGAATATATATATTAAAAGTCATGCATAACCACTTTTTCATTAGATATTAATTCATTAAAAAATTATATAAAAATATCATATAAGAGAACCTATTTGAAAATAACATTTATTTAGTTGGTTACTCAATATATGTTTTTAATTCCATCAATAAATATATATGTATGTATGCGTGCGTGCGTGGGTGTGTGTGGTGTGTGTCTGTATATAGAGCTGTTCTGGTGCGTCTGTCCGCAGGAGAAACGTCGTCCGGCCGACGGCGTTTGGACGCCTTCCCGGTGTAATTTTTTGATGAAAATTTTATGGAATGTTCTTCATCAAGTCTAGTTTATCAAAAAAAAAATCAATTAAAAAACTCAATTCGGAAGGTATTCAAATGATTTTTTGAAGATAACCGTGCAAAATTACACATAAAAAACGCAGTCAACTTCAAAAAATCATTTGACGACCTTCTGGATTGAGTTTTTAGCTGATTTGTTTTGTGCATAAACTAGATTTGATGAAGAACATGCCATAAATATTTCATCAAAAAATTGCACTGGGAAGGCGGCCAAAAGCCGTCGGCCGGACCCTGTGGTGCGGCCGGACGCACATGAATACTCCTCTCTCTCTCTCTCTCTATATATATATATATATATATATCAGTTCAAGTGAGAAATGCATCTAATGTGAGAAATAAGAATGAATCTCAACCGTTAAATTTACGATGCTGCACTAATATAAGAATGGCTTCATGTTGAAGTAAGATTTAAATTTTTCAATGTTACACTAAAACTGTTTCATGTTGCATTATTATTTGATGATCCCGCACCAAAACAGTTTTATGTTGCATTATGTAAGTGTAATATGGATTTTAAAGAAGTATTTGCAAAAATGCTACGGTGCTAAATTGCATATTTCAGTGCAGTATAAAGTGTCTTTTACTGCAACTTAATCGAATCCAATGGGTGAGATTCATTCTCATTTCTCACCTAAGGACTTATTGTTAAACACACACTTGTTTTTAATTGTTAAATGACTAGGTTTCTAGTTAAAGATTCACTCCATAGAATTTTAGCTATACATTCAAGTAGTTGTTAGTTAATTTTTGATAGTGTGTATTTTTGTTGATTTTTTTAAGGAATGCCATTATTTTTCATAAATATATATTACCTCTTTTGTTTTTTGATTGCAACACGTTTAATTTTATTCGATCCACATGTTCACTTTGACTTCATTTTAATTGCTAATGCATTAGTATAAGTTTAATTTTTGAAAAATATTGGTAAATTTTTCTATTTTGAATTCTCAAAATCTAAATTTGTTTAAATGTTTTACCAACAACTTAGTAAGAAACAAAATATATTACTCTCTCTATTTCATTTTATCTGTCTTACTTTCCTTTTTGGGTTGTTCCAAAATAAGTGTCACATTTCTTTTTTTGGAAAAAACATGTGGTTTACATCCTTTCACTTTATTACACTCAAATATCAATCACAACTTTTATTTTTTAACCATTTTATTAATAATTGTGCCAAGTTAAAGTAGGACACATAAAATGAGACAGAAGTAGTATTACCTAATAATTAAATTATAAAAGTGAAAATGGAAACATTGTAATTAAAGAATAAGCGAGGGAGTATATAACAAAAGTGAATAGACTTCACAGGGACCCATGTAAGACCAAACCCTTTCACCAGGAGGGTTTTTCTGTGAACCGCTGTGCACATTACACTAAAGAGGGAATCGAAGTCCCGAACGCATAGAGATCCAATCCAACCAGCTCCGAAGCATCGGAACCCTATTCTAAGTTCATCCTTCAACTTTGGTCGTAAGACTCGTCTCTCCACCAAATCCGAAGAATGCACGCTCCCGTTCTTGTTCTCAGTACGTTTTTCTTCTTAATCGTCTACTATCTATTGATACATCTTTTTAAAGAAACGTTCTTTTTCTCTCGGGTGCTTCTACTTGTTATAATCATGATTGTTTCATGTCCCGAGCAGAGGATTCCTTGAAGCGCGAGCAAGGAAACAAAGTGCACTATGCCAACATCCAAGCATCGAAGGTAGCATAAGCTTCATTGCCTAACGTTCTTACATTGCCAGTTGATATATTCACATTAAATGTTTTTTTTTAAATTTATTTCAGCGGGGATGGTAACATCAGTGCTCTGTTTTTATGTGTCATAATATGTTAAGTTTATTAGCGGTAGTTTAAATCTGGATACGTGGCCTAGTGATTTAGTGCCCACATTTGTGACATTTCATAACCCATAATTGTTAAGAGAAATGATGGATACCATAGAGATGGGTGTTAGCGCGGTAAATTAAATAGGGAAAAGTATGGAGAAGGTATCCGTGGTCGAGTATGTTTTCAGGTAGGGTCATGTGTATCATTGTTTATCAAAGTGATTCACGTGTTTGAATTCTGTTATCACAAGAAGGTCACACCATTAAAAACGTCTGAGAAAGACGGTTAATAGTAACCCCGATTTTCAAAAGTGCCTTAAAAATTAAAAGAAAAACATCGGAAGGTGCGTCTCCACAAGATGACTACTAGGCCATCTTTCTTTTTTGTTTCCAGCCACCCTTGTCACCGGAAAGTCCACCGGGAAAGTGATATTAGCGAAATCATTTTTAAAAAATAAATCAAACTGATCTGAAAAATCCAAAGGCGAAGGTGGTTTGGAGGTCATCTTGACGAGGCGCACATTCTAGTATTTTTCTTTTAATTTTCCGGGCACTTTTGAAAATCGGAGTTACTATTAACGTTGTTTCTCAGACGTTTTTAACTGCGTGACCCTATTGTGATAACGGAACTCAAACACATGAACCACCTAAATAAACAATGAAACACATGACCCTCTCTGAAAACGGGTTCAACCACAAGTACATTTTCTATACTTTTCCCAATTAAATACTACGTAGTAGAAGAACTTTGAAAGGCTATTTTTGGATCTGAACTGCAATGATTCTAATCCACAGCTAATATAATGGTGTTTAACTGATATCTTATCCTTGTATTGGTAGGCTGTTGCTGATATCATACGTACGACTTTGGGCCCACGGTCTATGTTGAAAATGCTGCTTGATGCTGCTGGAGGTAATCTTCTTCTGCCCACTTAATTCTGTACCTACGCATCAGTGATTGTTATTGATATGCTCATCTGCTCCCAAATATACACTTTCTGCTAATATTTTCCACTAGTACATATTGTATTCATTTGCTTACTTCGTATGTCCTCCGCTCCATTTGATGGCACCACTGTCTACTGACTTATTTATTTGCGATCCATCACAGGAATTGTCGTGACTAATGACGGAAATGCCATTCTACGTGAGTTAGATATTGCACATCCGGCAGCTAAGGTACACGCTTTTAACAATGTCCAACTTCCCCTATGTCGTCATTTCTTTTCCAAACCTATGCTTCCGGTTGATTTTCTATGTTACTACGTAATAAATATTTTGTACTGTAATTCATTATGTTAGAATGTACATTTATTATTGTTGTGAACTGTTGTAGTCCATGATTGAACTAAGTCGCACTCAAGATGAAGAAGTGGGGGATGGGACTACATCTGTCATAATTCTTGGTATGGTTTAACTCGTACACTTTCCTTTGTTTATTTGATTGTTTTGCTTGATCGTTGCACCCATCTTATGTATGCCTTTCTTTAGGGTTAAATCTTGTGGCTCAGATTACTTTACCATTAGCCAGTTATGTTAACTGGATCGGTCTTCTATCGAACAACAATAAACAATCAAATGTTTTTTGACTTAATGAGCGTCTCAAGTGTATCTTATGTTTGTTCCAATCACTCCTACATTATCAACTTCTCTAAAGATTCTGGTCAAATCTAAAAATGCTTACCATCTGTGTTTCTCTCTAAAGTCTTGGGGGGTGTTTGGATCTGCTTCTTTAAACTGCTTCTGCTTCTTCAGAGAGCAGAAGAGCAGATATTGTAGTGTTTGGGTGAGAGTGCAGAAGTACTTCTGCCTTTTGGGTGCTCCAAATTACTCATAGAAGCAGTTATTTAGAAGAGTGGGGAAATCAGCTTCTGAAAAACTGATTCTGATTCTGCTTCTGCTTTCAAAAAAGAAGCGGAAGCAGAATCAGTTCCAAACACCCCCTTAATTTATATTTCTTTCTGCTTTTTTGAAAGGCTAATTTAGTTGCGCAATCCATAACATTTTCGAAGTACTCTTTCCATCATTGTGACATGCTAAGCTGCTTGCTTACCTATTTGACTTTCCTGAAGCTGGTGAGATGCTTCATGTTGCGGAGGCCTTCATTGACAAGAGCTACCACCCTACTGTTATATGTCGAGGTTAGCACATAATACCTGTATTCATTTCTTAATGCATAAAGTGCAATGCCACTTTTTTTTAAAGTGTACGTATTCTTGTGTGTAGCATATAATAAAGCTCTTGAAGACGCTGTTGCTGTGTTAGACAAAATTGCTATAACCATTGATGTCAAGGATCGTAAGTTGCTTTGTTCTTTTCATATCAAATAGTTACATGCTTTACTATTGTACTCTCATCATCATCATTACCCCAGTTCCGCAAAGTCTCCCACCTACGGTGGGGTAAGGGGGGGTCGGATTTACGCAACTTTACCCGTGTACTAAAGTACATAGAGACGGTTTCCGGATGACCTATGGACTATTGTACTCTCTCGTCCCTATTTAATCTTTCCTTGTCTTTTCTAAGTTAAAACAGGTAATCATTGGCTACTCTCATTTGCAAGCTTGTATAGTAATTAAACTTATAAAGATTAAGGAATTAATATTGGGAAAAATTTAATATCTATAGAACCAGTTGGTCAAGGCCTCAAGGGTATATTCATCTCATAAAATAGTGGTCACAGACGGTCTAACTGGAGTGAGTTTTACTTCGAGAAGTCAGTACATGAAGATACAAAAAAGATTCGGTGCGGGTGAGGGGTCTGTATTATCAGAGCGCTTGACATTTTTTTCATCCTTGATTATCAATTACTGAGCCATACATTTTGAGTTATAGAAATTATTATTTCCCTAGGAATGGAAATGGTTGTAAAATGTCAGCTATGCAGGTTATCATTTTGTAGCAGCATATACATAAATATCTAAAAACATTCCTTCTTACTTGTCAAATGCTGCACACTTTGCAGGTGGAGCTATGTTGAGCCTGGTGAAGAGTTGTATTGGTACAAAATTCACTTGCCAATTTGGAGATCTAATTGCGGTAATGTTTTCTGCTTTATACCAAGGGTCGTTGTGATCATATGCTGCTTGACTTTTACTGGACATGTTATAAGTTCCCCTGCCATTTACAAGCATTTCACCCCAAAAACAGATGTCTCACGATGTTATTCTTATTAGAGAACATTTCTTTGAAGAAAGGCAACTCTTCCGAAATTTTTATTGTTTACCCCTCCAACTTTGCTCTGATTACTTGAGTGCTGTGTTATACCATGAATACAGTAGCTACGAAGAGTGTCTCGGTTCTGTTGCATATCCCTTTGAACATTTGAACACAGTTTCAATCTTTTCCTTTCTATTTCGATAACTATGTGATATTGGGTCCACTGACAGATTCTTTCAAAATCAAATGAGATTAGTGCAAAACTGTAAAAAAAAATCTTCATTAATCATGCTTATAACGGTCTTTTTTTTCTTTTCTTCTTAGATCACATTATGGTTAATGGTACTTACATAATAGTTCACTGGGCATTTTTAGGATTTAGCTATTGATGCTACCGCAACTGTTGGAGTGGAAATTGGCCAAGGGTTGCGTGAAGTGGATATTAAAAAGTACATCAAGGTCGAGAAGATTCCTGGTGGCCAGTTGGAGGATTCAAAGGTGCTCAAAGGAGTTATGTTCAACAAAGATATAGTCGCTCCTGGAAAAATGAGAAGAAAGATTGTAAATCCTCGCATTATTCTCCTCGATTGTCCCCTGGAGTACAAAAAGGGTGAGAACCAAACCAATGCAGAGTTACTTAGAGAAGAAGATTGGAGTGTCCTCTTGAAAATGGAAGAAGAATACATTGAGACCATGTGTGCTCAAATTCTCAAGTTTAAACCTGATGTGGTTATTACTGAGAAGGGATTGAGTGACTTGGCATGCCATTTCCTGAGCAAGGCTGGTGTTTCTGCAATTAGAAGGCTAAGGAAGACAGATAATAACAGAATTGCCAAGGCATGTGGAGCGGTTATTGTTAACAGACCTGATGAGTTGCAGGAATCTGACGTTGGTACTGGTGCTGGACTTTTTGAGGTGAAGAAAATTGGTGATGAATTCTTTACTTTTATTATTGATTGCAAAGACCCAAAAGCGTGTACCGTGCTTTTGAGAGGTGCCAGCAAAGATTTACTGAATGAGGTGGAAAGAAATTTACAGGTAAATCTAAAACCATTCAACTTTGAGTTTCACATTTCAAATAACTTTTATTGTAATCATTTTAATTAACATCATCATTACTTATACTACTAGTCTACACCAACAATAACTACCACTACTATAGTACTAGGACCAGCTTTGCCTAGAAAAGTCTTGTTTGCTCAATGCACAACTGTTTAATTTTGGTAAAGTAGAACTGTATAACTATTGTAGATCTTCAATGATAAGTACATTATAAGTTACATGAATTTATGTACCTCTTATATGGAAAAATACCGGAGCTTCTTGTGATGAAATAAGGCTCTATTTTGCTGAGTATTTGAAATGAGACGGTTTTTTGGATGAAGAGCTTTATTTCATGAAAAGTCTTGTTTGCTCAATGCACAACTATTTAATTTTGGTAAAGTAGAACTGTATAACTACTGTAGATCTTCAATGATACATAATTATAAGTTACATGAATTTATGTACCTCTTATATGGAAAAATACTGGAGCTTCTAGTGATGAAATAAGGCTCTATTTTGCTGAGTATTTGAAATGAGACATTTTTTGGACGAAGAGCTTTATTTCATGAACCCATTTTAAATGACTTCAGAAACATCACAAATTACATTATTGTGCAGGATGCCATGTCCGTATCCAGAAACATCATCAAGAACCCGAAGCTAGTACCCGGTGGTGGTGCAACTGAGTTAACTGTATCTGCTATGTTGAAGCAGAAGAGCTCATCTGTCGAGGGAATAGAAAAGGTAGACAATGGACTCAGTTAAGGCTTATTTCATAATTGGATTGAGAATGACAGTAAACCCATCTGCTAATGTAGTGTTCTGATATATTTTTTCCTTTATAAATTTGCATGAATGAAAAGATATTTCTGTGACAGTTATTACCTCAAAACTGTCGAACTGGTAGTGCTCAATTGTTTTTGGAAATATAGAGGCACTAACTCCATGGTTAATTCACTTCTGAATAGTGGCCCTATGAAGCTGCTGCAATTGCTTTTGAGGCTATACCTCGAACATTGGCCCAAAACTGTGGGGTCAATGTGATTCGGACAATGACTGCACTGCAGGGGAAGGTAAATACTCTCCCTATAATTAATTCACTTGTGCACTTGAATACTTCATATAAGTTTCTTGTTGGAACCTGGAATATAAATTTAATGCCTTTTGTTTAGCATGCAAATGGGGAGAATGCATGGACAGGGATAGATGGGAATACTGGGGAGGTTGCTGATATGAAAGAACGAAAGGTATGATCTTTTGTTCTGTACTACGCTCTTTCTACTTCAGATTTTCACAACATCCTACAAAAATCAAATTCTTCAAATCTTTAGACTGGAACATCTGTTACCAATGTCTTGACTGGCTTTGTAAAAATTTCAGATCTGGGATTCTTACACTGTTAAAGCACAAGCTTTTAAGACTGCCATTGAAGCTGCTTGTATGCTTCTGAGAATTGATGACATTGTAAGTGGTATCAAGAAAACGCAAGCCCCTAGTGCAGGCCAGGCTCCATCAAAGCCAAAGGTTGAGGAAGAAGGCGATGCTGACAATGACCAGTTGATTCCTGAGTGATAGCACATGTTTTCGTTTAAACGCCTGGATACAATTTTTCAGCTTTTACTTGAATCTGGCCCAGATATTCAATAGATAAGTGTCTAGAGTGCCATCGGGTTTTGACCATTAGTGTGGTCGTTGGCCGCAAGATTTTGTGCTTAAACATGTGATTATTTTGTATTTTCTCAATTTCCTCATGTTAAGGAGAAGTATCTACTTACCAAAAATTTTTAATCAGAATCTTTTAGGCCTCATTTTATTGGTTATTGCCTTTGTGGGTTGCAACTTCCCACGAATTACCCCACATTCCATTACTTAGTGATTCTTGGTCATTCTGTGACTTGAAACGCGATTTGGAGCACCAAAATAGGGTTGGACTCGGGCCGGGCCAACCGGCCTAGAACCGGACCGGCCTGCTACTGTGCGGGCTCGGACCGGCCCGGTGAACCGGTTGGTTGGCCGATTCGGGCCACCCGGCCCGGTGGGATGGCGGTTCGGGCTCGGGCCCTTCAAATGGTGAACCGGCCCGGCTGGTTTGGGCCCGGACCGGGCCATTTTTTTTTTGAATTTTTTTAAGTTTTTGGGTTGGGTTGGGTATTTTGGGCCGTTTGAGGTGGTTAGGGTTGGTTTGGGGGGTGAGGGGGAGGGTTAGGGGTTAACTAGGAAAAGCCAAAAAATAAATAAAATAGAACCGAGGCCTGGCTCGGCCCGCCTGGCCCAGACCTGGGGGTTACCCGGGCCGGTTCCGGGCCTCCCCTTCATGAACCGAGGCTTGGCTGGGCCCGAGCCTGAACCGGAACCGGTCCATCTAGGGATGGATTCGGGCCGGGCCTAGGCCCGGTCGGGCCGCCGGTTCAAGAACAGTGGGCCCGGAACCGGCCCGAGGGTTGGACGGGTCCGGTTCGGGCCGGGCCACCCGCCCGGGTCACGGGTCGGGTCCGGTTCGGGCCGGGTCGGTTATTTTTTTTTTTTATAATTTATATTTTATATTTTATAGTTTATAGTTTTATAAGAGTATTAAAAACAAACTTCAATTGCATTTATTTGAAATGAAATAGGAACTACATTTGAAAATTAAAACAAACTTTAAGAGAAACATTTTGAAAATTGTAATCAATCGGAACTTCCCGCACCTCCCGATCCTTTGGCTTTGTGACCTTTGTCACATGACTTCATATGCTTGATTGCATTCCCGAATCCGCCTGAAGCCCCCATAATACATTTTTTTTCGCACCATTTGCAAATTGCGTACCACATCCCGGTCTTCGGGTCCTTCTGCTTATCAAAATTATACCGTGTAATGGCATTTTGATTTTCCATCTTAACTTCTTGGAGAAGAGAATTAGAGAGTAGATATATAATATATTGGAGAATAAGAGAATTAGAGAGTAGAGAGTTAAGAATGAATTTAGGAAGAATTGGAGAAGAGATATGAAAAAATGTTTAAGAGTAGGAGTATTTATAGGTTTTTTTACCCCCCACCCCCCACCCCCCGGACCTCCCCTTTACCCCACCCAACGGCTATATAGCCGTTTGGGTTGTCCCCAGCCCCACCCCCAAGGCCTCAACGGCTAGTAGCCAAAAATCAATTTTTTTTTTAAAAATAGACCCGGACCCGGACCCGGGCCCGACCCGGCCGGGCCGGGTCACAAAAATGCTGAACCGAGCCCGCCCCGCCCCTTCCCCCCGGTTCGGGACCATACCCGGTCCCGGACCGCCCGACCGGGCCGGTCCCGGGCCCGCACAGTACCGGGCCGGGCCGGGTCACGGGCCCGCACAGTACCGGGCCGGGACGGGTCACGGGCCGGGTGGCCCGAACCGAATCCAACCCTAGGTCCATCCCTACACCAAATCAATCCAAACGATTTGCTATGGTAGTTTTATTATATTCCTCTCTTTTTAAACGCTCCTAGTGCGCAAGAACACCCCAATTTTAGTTCCACAAAATCTAAAGCCATGACTTTTTTTTACTAACACCAAATGCTATCATCATATCATAATAAGAAGAGGTCTTTTTTTACTACAACACCAAATACTTAGAACAATTTCTATGCTCGCTAAGTGTTTGATAAATTTCTAAACTAATAAATATATTATGATTTATTCTTCATATTTTGATGGTCTATGACAATAGCGTACAACGTAATATCGAAGTTTGTTAGTTTTTTTTATACTTGCAATTAAGTTGCAAGTCTAAATCATGAATCAAAAGGATAATCATATAAGTGTTGGGGGTAGAAATATAACCAATTTTGTTTGTTAGTGCATGATGTCTTAATCTTTCATGGGATTTTCTCTCGATGATTGTGATTCGTAACAGAACTCCGCCATGAGATCTTTTTTTGGTATCATGCTTGTCTCAAGTCTGGATAAAGGAGGAGGGTGATGTGGTAGGCGCGTGACGGCCAACAGTATCACTTAGTCACATCACATGACATGAATCGAAATATGAATATCGCTACAGCTAGGTCGTTGCCCGTAAGCGACGCGTCATCCCTCCACCTGGGGTGGTGTCAAATGAGGAAGGGCGCGCTACACTTCATAGGCTTGGGTGGCTCGGTGTGGTGATAAAAATGCTAATGCTGCTACGTCATCGCCCGGAAGCGATGCGCCACTCCAATGCCCAGGGATGGTGTCAAATATGCAAGGGCATGGTGGGGATCGATGTGGGGTGAAGAAGAGAAGGCAAGGTGTTAGATTGCGCTTTGGGACATGGAATGTTGGCTCTCTTACGGCAAGATCATTTGAGATAGCCGAGGTTATGAAGAGGAGGAATATCAGCATAATGTGCATGCAAGAAACTAAGTGGGTTGGAGAAAAGGCACGCGAGATTAATCCCGGAGGTTTTAAGCTTTGGTACTTGGGGAGAGAGAGGAACAGAAATGGAGTAGGCATTATGGTGGCACATGATTATGTTGACGGTGTGGTTGAAGTGTTTAGGAAGAACGATCGCATCATGGGCATTAAGTTGATAATAGGGGATGAGATCGTGTCCGTGGTTAGTGCCTAAGCACCACAAGTGGGATTGGATGCATCTATCACTCAACAATTTTGGGAGGATCTTGAGGAAGTGGTGCGACGAGTGCCAAGGGGAGAGAAACTGGTCATAGGAGGCGACCTCAACGGGCATGTGGGCCCAAGTCGTGATGGTTTTGAGAGTGTCCATGGCGGACATGGTTTTGGCACTAGAAATGAAGCGGGAAAGAACATTCTGGATTTTGCCTCGACATATGAGTTGGCTGTGATGAACACTTGGTTCAAGAAAAGAGACTCTCACCTTGTCACCTATAGAAATGGAGCTAATAGTACCCAAATTGACTACTTTTTAGTACGGACGACTTGTAGAACTAGCTACACTGATTGTAAGGTTTTCCCAGGTAAGAGTGCTGTCACTCAGCATAGGATGCTTGTGCTTGATTTTCGAGGTAAAAAGAGGGGACGAGTTAAGGTACAAGGGGTGCCAAAGATAAAATGGTGGAGGCTCGAGGGGAATCTCCAACAAAGTTTTGCACACAAAATGTTGGAGGAAGATGTTTGGTCTATTGATAATGACGCACACTTGGATGATGTGTGGTTATCAATGGAGTCCACTATTAACAAAGTGGCGAAGGAGATACTAGGAGAATCTAAAGGATGCCTGCCACCAAAAAAGGACACATCTTGGTGGAATGATGAGGTGAAACAAGCAATAAGGGCCAAAAGAGAATGCTATAAGAAATTGGGTAAAATTTGGAGCGACGAGAACATAGAGGAGTACAAAGAGGCTAGAAGAAGAGCAAAGAAAGTTGTGAAGGAATCCAAAGGAAAAGTGAATAAGGAATTTGTTGGGATATTGACCTAGAGGCCCAATACCCAGATCGGGAAGGCCCAAGATATCCGGCCCAAGTAACAGGCCCATCACTCTATGATGAGAAGATCCAGTAAGGAGACATACCGAACGGGGTTCGGCCCAAATAAAGGTTGGCCCAATAAGAAGACATACCGAACGAGGTTCAGACTATATACTATACTTGGGCCAATTTGACAGCATCTTCAGTATGGACCAACATCCCGTTCGAGCAACGACCAATCAGCAAGTGGCCAGGTGCAGGTAATGCCAGACTGTGACATCAGCAAGTGGAAGCATGGATGACCAAGTCGGTGGAACAACGGCCAATCAGCAAGAGGCAGCCCATGTTCTCCATTAGTATAAATAGAAGGTTTCAAGTCATTGTAAGGGTTAGATTTTCGATACTCAAGCTCTAGAATAGCATCATTTGCTCTTATTTCTTGTATTAAAGCATAGTTTCCGACTTACTGATCGGGAAATCTTTTGTAATCAGATTGGTTAGTAAATACAAGTGGGTTTTCGAGTTCTAGTTAATTCAGATTTTATATTTCCTCACACACTTTGATTCTGGGCCATTCCTAATATATCCAAAGTTCGTGTTGGGCTTTCGGATCTACGGGACTTACCCTCAACATTGGCGCCGTCTGTGGGAAACTTGCGAAAAGTTTCACTTTCTAAACATCCAAAAAAACCTCTATTTTTAAAAAATGGTCAGAATCAATTCCTATCATACAAACGACGGTTCACACCGTCACGGGAGGAGTCACACCCCGGGGAGTCAAAACCCCCATGGACAATCCACTCGAGGATCCTATCCTCGCGTTAATGGGGATTTTGTGATCCCAGAATCTCTGAGGAGAAATCCCCAGGCCATGCGTGACATGGCCCAATTCATGCAGCACATGGCAAACGAAGAAGAAGGAGGTTCTAGCTTTACAGGAGAAACTCCACGCGCGGAAACGACCACAGCGTCATCCCGCTCACATACCCAGAGGACCAACTCCCGTCGGTCATCATTTCCAATATGCCGAGCGGGAAGATACTAGGGCCCCTCAGCGGCATTGGGACCGGGACTGTGCGGATATAAGGGTTCCACCACCGCCCCCTCTGACGGCCCAGGAGGAAGAAATGGCCGAGATGAGGAGGCAAATGAATGAAATGCGGGACCAGATGAACAGGGTACCTGCACAACCTGCACCAGTCCAACTGGGGATTACTTCCCCGTTTACAAGGGAGCTCATGTACGCGGATATCCAAGGGGGTGCCAAGCCCCCGACCGGCCAAATATATGATGGGGTGGGAGATCCCCACGTACATCTGAGGAGTTACCAAGGCGGACTTATGCTGCTAGGAGCACCCGAGGCTGCCATTTGCCGTTTGTTTTTCAGCACGCTCAGGGGGCCTGCCCAGGAATGGTTCGGGACACTACAGCCCGGGTCAATCAATAGCTTTACCGAGTTATCAACGTTATTCTTGGCTCAATT